CAGAATGACACGGAGAAAGCAAAGCAGTATGAATGAAGCTCTGAAAAAAGACCAGGTATGATATGATAACCAATAAACCGAACATTTTTATGGTAGCACAATCATGAAAAATGAAATTCATTCTCATTCCATCAGATGTTGTGTCAAGAGGTCAACATCTCTTTGACCACAAATCTGTGTACACTAATATGTTATTGCTGCAAGATAAATCTACAGGAGAAAAATAAACAATAAATTTATTGAAAACTCCTTTTAATCCCCCAAATATTATGAACTAGAAAACTTGTACCTGTCAAAGCAACAGTGACCAAAACTTAGCTACTGTGTTGACTGATCATGATGTTACAATGACTAATAAAATAAGTTGAAAAGAATATAATTTTATCTTATCAGGATTTGTCGTCATGTGCCACTTTGTCAGTGTTTGTTGTACTGCTGCTGTGCGCTGATAAATATTTTCTAACATAGTAATCAACAGTGATCATTGTAAAAACTTTTCGCATGGTCAAACAATGACTTTATTCCCAAGCACTTGCGCTTGGACATTAGTTACAAGACTGTTCGCCAGTATTGTCAGAATCGCCCAGCAAAATTTACTATACCAATGAAAATGAAACAAAGTCAAACTGTCAACTTGCCAAAGAGGGCGCACTTTAAAGCACTGGCTGAAGAGTCTGTCAAGGTATAAGGTTGAGGCTGTAGCAGAATAAATGGACCATGGGGGGGGGTATTGTTAGCCATCTGATGCTATAGTTTTAAAACTGGTGCTTAGTTTTAATTTATAAGTGTCACTTTCACTGTATTTCTTTGTTTTCAGGGAAATCCTAAGTTGTATTTGCAACTGTTAGATCTGGAGTTCCAATCCAATTTTCAAAATGAAGAGGCTGTCCTGGCTTTGTTTGAGAGAATATTGAACAACAAAAATGTATCGATTGATTCAAAGGTTTTGTTCTCTCAAAGAAAACTGGAATATTTGGAAGATTTTGGCAGCGACGTGACCAAGTAAGTGTCTTTTTATGTAAATTCAACAGTTTTTGTTTGTTTTCCGTTCAGGTTCCTCGTGACTGGGATTTTTAATGGTAAACTTTCTCCCGGAATAAACTGTTATACAATCTTGCATAATAGTCTCTACTGCTTCAAACCATCTTTGTAGAGAAACATTACATTGATTGCAAGTTTTTTTATTTTTAGGTTACTTGCTGCATACGAAGACCACCAAAAATTAATCAAACAGCATGGTGGAAAAAAAAGACCTCATGGTGGAGATGGGTAAGTACAGCACAGGTTCAAGGGTCATCTTTGAGGTATTAGCTCTGTAACAAATATTCAAAAATTCATGACTATGGCGTTCGTGTATATTGAACAGTTCTTGAGAATTGCATTAGTTCAAAGATATTTTATCTGACTTGCAATGGCATACAAGTTTAAGGTTCCTACAGGTTTCAGCATGCAAAATTTATGACTTTTTGACTCCCATGTGCGAAGCACAAAATGGGAGTCTTTGCAGTTAGTGTGTCTGTGTGTGTGTGAGTGTATGTGTGTCCGACTGTTCCACTGCTATCTCAAGAACCATACATCGGTTTTTGGTGAAACTTGGTGCATAGATGCTCTGGGCCAATGCGCAGATTTGATTAGGTTTTGGTAAAAATCCATGCTCGTTAATTACCTAATTTGCATGATAATTAGCTAATTTTTAGCTGTTCTATGACTGTTCCACTGATATCTAAAGAACCACTCATTGGATTTTGATGAAACTTGGTACATAGATGCTCTGAACATATGCGCAGATTTGATTAGTTTTTGGTAAAAATCCGTGGATACTAATTACCTAATTTGCATAATGATTAGTCAATTTTCGGTTTTTCCACTGATATCTCAAGTACTAATCATCACATTTCAATGAAACTTGGTACATAGATGTCATATGACACTGCACAGACCTGATAGTTTTTATGGTAATATCAGTACATATAATTACCTAATTTGCATAATTAATTAATTTTCAGCTTTTGATATAAGTAGTGAGCATTACATTTCAATGAAACTTGGTACTTACATACTCGAGGACTATGCAGAGATTGTTTCGGATAAATATTTGTGCATATTAATCACCTAATTTGCATAATCAGTTAATTTACAGCTTTTCCACGGGTAT